TCTCTCTCTCTCTCTCTCTCTCTCTCTCTCTATATATATATATATATATATATATATATATAGTTTATGTGTGTTAACCCAACACTACTTATCTCCAGTAGCATATAGAAGAGACCAATGAATTAGAAGTTAGGATATGTGAATTCTTATTACAACTCTGCCACCAATTAGATAGTAGAACTTTGACAAACCATTGACTTCTTCAGGCTTTGGGTCCCTTTGCTGTAACCTCAGGAAGTTGAAAGAAGTAAATCCATCCAAGTTGTTTGTACAATACATTTTGTGTACGTGGTGTGTACTGCAGAGTCACCTATGGCCAGAGAAAACTAGACTTTAAAAAAAATCGTATTATTATTTCTTCACTGGAAAAAAATGAGTATTGACTCTCAGGTAAGAGCAACTGTTTTCGCCATATACATACATATCCTTTCTCTCTAGCCATTTTATGAACATTGGAACTGGCAGTTATGATTTAACTTTTTGCCTAGATGACAACTCATCTGTTATAAACAGTAGAAGCTGAGTACATGTGTGCTGATAATTTTTATCATAAATCCTGGAGGAGCATTCTTAACCCATCTACCCCATTCTACCATGTTTTCCTGACTGCAGAGAGCCACAGCACCATGGCAGTAATGCCGAAAATTTGATGGTGGCGGATGGGACTCTTTACTTTGAGAGTGTGTCATTCTTCTCAGGGGGATCACATGTTTATTAACGGGTCATAAGTTGCTTGCTTCCTGTTAGCTTTTCTCGGTAAATAGGACTATAGCACTCAGTGGATGCTGCTTTATTTTTAGCTTTTTAAATCACCACCTGATGAATAGAAACAGTAAACAAGTATTAAAACATCGAAAGTAATTTGAAAATAGTGCTATCCTGGGGAGTCTGGAATTCCAGACATTACCAGACGGTTGTAAATCAGCAGTCACCACGCAAAGCTGGGGAATAAAAGACAAGAAAATAAGAACACCTAAGTGTGCTCATCTGAAGCCACTTTCTGAAAATGAGGGGTCAGTTGCATTTATAGAAGAGCAGGAGAGACTGCCTGAGATGATGAGTCCATATTTTTCTTCAACTTTCCTAATTCTTGTCCAGTCCAATCAGATATCCCAGATGATAAATATAAGGACCTATCTAGAGTCTTGTGCTTCACACTTACTAAGCATCAAAAACTGAAGCCATTGTCATGGTAATATTGTCTATTTAACCCAAATTCTAAACAAACAGTGTTTAGCCTTACTGCAAAATGGAAAGTTAAAGGAAGTAGGGAAAAGGGACACAGTACTGATAATAAGCTCTAACATTTGGGGAGTACTCGCTAGAAGACTGACACTGTTCTCAGTTCTTTAAGTATTTTAACATGCTTGATTCCTACAACCTATGAGGTCTTTAATGTTATTTTCTCCTTGTACAAATAAGGAAATGGAAGCCTGAGGCGTCAAGTAACTTTCCGTCATTTCAGAAGTAATGAGTGATTGGGCTGGTATCTGAATCTCTGTAGTTGGGCTTTAGAGATCTTACTCTTCTCTCAAGTGCCTGTAGAAAATAAGGCCTGATATTTGATACAAGGAGGGGTGGGAAAGCCGACAACAGTAATCAGTAGTTTGATGAGAAAGAAAACTGAAAACTCTTGAATTTAGGAGATTAATGTGGAAGGTTCAAAATTAGCATTCACCGATCTACGTCTGAGAAAAGTCTGTTCTTTAAGATTTCTAATGTGTTGTGCAAATATCAGTATTCTTCTAAAACCTGAATATTTTCTTAAGACCCATTTGAGTGTATCCTAAGATAGTTAATAGCTTAACTTAATTATTTTTCCTGCAAAAAATTATCTTGAAATGAGCCTGGGAAGAGCACACTCTAGTCTGTACTGGAGTGAAATAAATAAATAATGCACTAGCAATATTGCTGGCAGACCCAAAGAGGATTTTTTTTTCCCTCTTGAGTGTGAAGCTCAAGCTAAAATTTGCCAGTTTCTTTCCTTTTAAAGCTGCTTCTTTCTCAGTATTTTCCATGCTGAAAGTTGTCTCTACCTTTCATATAATTCATCTGAGAAAAAAAATCTTTATCATCTTGTATGCCTCTCTCTTTCCTTTGCTTCTTCAGTGTCACAGTGATTCTATCTCTTAAATATATTTTGAATGTGATCCCTCCTTTCCAGCTCAGTGGGCATTGCCTTTGTTGGAGTTGCCGTTTTTTCCCTGAATGAATGCATTTGCTTTCTAATTTGTCTCACTGCTCTTAGTCCTCCTTTCAATCCAATCCAGTTTTCTCACTGCAATCAGAAAAATCTTCACAAAATCCAAATGTCATCATTTCCCAGTGTGAAGTCCAAACTCTTTACAGTGGTTTTACATGACGTTCAGCCTGGCTCCTGCCCACCTCTCCAGTCTCAGTTCCTGCTATTCCTTGATAACTACTTTATAATCGAGCCACCCCAGATTACTTGCAATTCCTCAGACATGCCAAGTTGTTTAATGCCTTCAAGCCTTTGTGCATACTGTTCTCTGAAATAGCGTTTCTTAAAAACTGCAAAATTCTTACTCATTTTTTAAGATAACGAGGTATCAGAATTTATGAAGTCTGTTTGTTTCTTTCTTTGACACTACTGTGGTTGAACATACCCCTTTGTAGTACTTAGCACATTGAATTTCAGCTATTTTACTTGTGTGTCACTTCTGGATTGTGAGGAACTGAGCACTTTCTTTTAAGACTTTTTTCAGGTTACTGTTTGACATTATTTAATGGTTAATTACTTCACCTGTTAAGTATTTTAGATACACTTGCAGACTATCTATTATACGAAGCTAGAGAAATCTACATTCGATTGTTCTAAATTATAACTTGTGGAAATTTTCTTTCTTAATATAAAGCTGAATAACTAACAGTAATGGAAAACTGTTTTTCTCCTCTCCTCTTAACTCTTCTCACACCGGATATGTGGGGTTTTTCCCGCACCAAGCAGTTCTTCAACACCAGCTGGATGTCTTACAATTCCATTCAGTTCTGACACTATGTACCTGGACTTAGCATCAGATCCCACAGGTTAAGGGCTGAGTCCTACACAACTGCCCCTACTCCAACCTTCTGACACACACACAATTCACATACCAGTTGTAAGTCCAGGTTGTCACCTATGCTTCTGACTGACCAGCTGTAAACCAGAGATTCCCACGACCCCCTCCTCTGATTGTATCATTTGTTAGAATGGCTCATAGATCTCAGGAAAATAGTTTACTTACTGTTGATGATTTACAAAGGATATTTCAAAGGACACAAATGAACAGCCAGATGTAAGAAGTGTGCAAGTTCTGGGGGATGAGGCACAGAGCTTCCATGCTCTCACCAGATGCTCCACCCTCCCAGCACCTCCATGTATTCATTAATCCTGAAGCTAAGCAAAGCTTTTGGTTCAAGAGCTTTTATGGAGCTCAGTCTCCAATGTCTGCCCCTTTCCTGGAATTTCAGGGGATGGGGCTGAAAATTCTAACTCTCTGATCCCTTGGTCTTTCCGGTGACCAGCCCCATTCTGAGACTATTTAGAAGCTCCACCCTAAGTCAACTCATTAGCATAAACTCAGGTATGATCAAAAGGGATCCCTTATGAATAATATACAAGAAATACCACTCAGGAGATTCTGAGAGTTTAAGGAGATCTCTTACAAGAACCTGGAAAAAAGACCAAATATATATTTTTATTATATCATTACTAACCTAGCTATTTTCTGGCCATTCTAATCATGTCATATTAGCATTAAAAAAGCAAGAATCTAAATCAAGTTGCTGCTTAAACATCAAAGTATCTTGGCTGAGTAAGGAGGAGGACTTGGGGGCTCTGGTCCATGTGCACCAATTCAGAGCAGAGAGGAACCAACATTACTGAGCACCTAGGTAAGGCCAAGCAAATTTTGATTTAGTATCACATTTAGTACTTAGACAAGTGTCTGTGCTCACCACCTGAGAGGTTCAGAGGGATTAAATAAGTTGCCCTAAGTTGTAGAGATAGTGAGCAGTAAAACTCAAGTCCAGGACTCTGATGGCCATGTACATATGGAAGCCATTGGGCTCTTAAAAGAAGAGTTCTCTAGAAAACCTTGAATCTGATATTTTATTCTTCTCTTTATTCTTAATGCTTGCACAATGCCTTTCACATTATCATTGTTCATTGAATGTCTGGAGACAAATTAGCAAAGAAAAATTGTACAATTCATAGGCAAACTTCCTTTGGTCCCACTCTTTCAAAGAGATTTCTAAACACAATTTCTCTGCTCATATATTCCATTACAAACCTGATTAGGAACTAGCAGGGAGTAAAATGAGATGCTAATCCAATGAATTGATTCTGTAGAATTTGTCTATCAGGATGGTGTTGTCCTTACATAGTGTATTACTATGTTTATCCTGTCTCATAACCTGGACTGCAGATCCCAAATGGATATAGATCTGTAAAGATAGTAACTTAGCGATACTTTTATCCAAGAGTGTTTTCTGCCCAGACTCATTGAAAATCTCTTCTCTTATCAAGACAACCAGTAAGTATTGTGTAGATTGAGCCATCCTTCCATTATGCTTAATAGGTCAGTTACATTTTTCTACTTCTCTGTTGAGTTTAATAACTTTAGCACAATTATACCCAGGCTTGACTTCTTTTTCTTGACTTAAGTTTTCCTTTATTACTTTTATTTTTCTAGATACAAAAATCTCTATTAAACATATTTTCAAACAAAACCTGAATATAATATAAAGCTTTTCTTCCCTAGCATATGAAAAATATACAAATGGTTTAACAGAACCAAGTGTGGTTTAGCTGGATGGCAAGATAGAGCCCTGTGGAATAAGCCATGATACCATAACATGATTTAATCAATAGAGTTTTTGTCCAGCTCTCCCTCTCTCTCTCTCTTTCTCCCTCTTTTTGAGTGAAGTAAAGACATTGCCTTGGCAGCACTTCCTTTTTGTTCACACCAGGCCACCATATTTATTCTGCTTTGTTACAGAAACTCCACTTACTGTATGAAAGTATCCATCTCACTGACAGTGGGTGAAAATGACACTGGACTCTGCTACAATTCCAAGATGAAGTACTTTGATAAAGCTGAACTTAGCAAAAGCAAGGAAATTTCATGCCGTGACATAGAAGATTTTTTACTACCAACGAGGGAACCTGAAATCCTATGGTATAAGGTATGGCCTATGAATGATTTTGTTGCTTATAAATAGATTAATGTGTATCTTATTCTAGGACAAGTTTGATTAAAACATTTAAATGAGTGTGATATAGTTCACTTCTGCCTTCCTAAAATACACCAAGTTGTGCTGGTCATTATAAGTTTTTAAACCAGTAGCTTTAATAAATGCTAGTTAAATATTTGTATTGTTAGTCCACTTTAATAAGCTGTTGCGTTAATGTTTGTTTCTAGTTTATGCAGATAATTCTTTCAAGTCTATTAAAATCTGTGGTAATATTTTCAGGAACTAAAATATATTAAGCATTCATTTCAAAACTCTTTATATAAGCAGTCCAAAATGTCCCTAGTCAAGTAGAGAATGAATTGACTAGCTTCTGTGATAAAATGCTACACTAGTTTTATTGAAATATTCTGTTTGATGGAAGTAGCTTTGTGCATATTCTAATCTGTTTCATATAAAAGCATACATGTTTTTAAAAATCTGATGAAAATTTATAACATTATAAAATAGTGTTAGATTAACTTCTAAAAACCAAAAGAAACTTTAGGCTTAAGCGGAATCATCAAACACTGTTCTTCCTGTCACATCAATGACTTTCACTGAATTTCAAGATTTGAACTTATTCTTCAACTTATTTATATCAAAAGATATTTTTGTTATTGAATGTACTCAGGAAAATGCAATATAGATGCTATGAACATTTGCCTGGAATATTTTATCCTTGCTTTGAAGATTCCTATTGTAAACTTTGCTTTGTCAAATTCACTGGCAGTGGGAATTTAGGAAGCTGGACCTCTTAATAACTAGATCCACAAATGTCAGTATACAGAGTGTGAGCTCTCATGAGTGACTGATAGCTTATGAATTCAAAACTTGTCAGAAATGAAACACGAAAGAAATCTTTAACAATTTTAAGGGATTTTCCCAGTTTTAGCAGTGCCCTTTTCTAAATGACTTAATTTTGATTCTTGCTGTGAACAATGGAATATTCAGAACATCCAGGGAACTGTTGAAATATTTTTTACTTTTCCCTTGGATTTCTATCTTTGACAGTGTTAAATAGCCCTTAAATATTAGTCCTACTGTTTTCTGTTCCTGTGCAGATGAATTTTATCTTTTACTGTTTTTAATTGTATGAGTATTTCTTACCCTGATTCTGTGGTTTACCTGCTTTCCACAGGCAGCCTCTAAGCAAGCCCTGATGATTTCCTCTAAGGGAAGAGGTATTAGGGAAGTTTGACCCAAGGTCTTGAAGAACAAATATTTTTTACTAGGACTCATAAGTGTACATTCAGCTTCTAGATACAGTTTCTTGACTGTTTGCTAGTAAGTTGATCTTAAGAGTCATGCACTTTTTCTCACTTTTTACAAATAATATCTCAAAATTTGCTGAAATACTAGAGACCACACACACATACACAGATACACACATACACATGCAGAGTCATACACTCAATTTTTTTAAATGGCTGACCTAATATTGGTCCTTTAGTCATGTTTCCACTGTCACCCCAGTCATTGTGACCTTGATCTATAAAAACCATAATTAGTGAAGTGATGAGTGGAGATGCAGTATATATGGAATTTAAAAGTTCTTTTAACTATTTATATTATTTTTCCATAGTCAAGGGAATATATATTCCATACATTCATCGCATAATTTATGCAACCAATATGAGGATGTTAAATATATATTTTGTTCTGCTATAACCAGATAACTGTCCCCTAATTGTACACAGGCATTGAGACACATACTCAAAATAACTATCTGCATAAATTTGATTTGGCAATAAATTTCTTAAAAATATAATATTATCTCTGAATAGCGTTAAAGGGTTTAAAGCTATTTTATCCTCATTCCATTGATTTCAAATTTGGCTAGAGGAAACGGACTTCTTCTTGGCAAAAACAGAAACCTCCTGAGCCAACTTCATTATAATCGAAAGCTTAAATCAGAGACCATAATTTGATAGACCTATCAATAATGAAAATCAGTATTTGTAAGACTATAAACACATTGCCTATAAATGGTAGCTATTTCTTTCATGGATTGTAGAATATATATGTTATGAAGAGATTGAATTATTTCTAAATGCAACATTAAAAGATTTAAAGTGTTGAATTAAAGTATTTTCCTTTATAGGTTTAATTTTTCTACTTTCCACAAAAAATCATTTTATATTTTATGCTATCAATATCAATGTGGTTAATTTCATGATCATCAAATGTAGAGCATTTGCTTCTAAAAATGATATTCGGAGTAATCTTACCCAATGTTCCTTTTCTTATATTTAGTAAATCAATACATATCTGATTTAAAGTCACTAACCTTAAAAGTTAATAAAGTGACTCTTGCTGAAAGTACTTTTTTCAAATTGAGGTACTTGATTTCCTGGAGATGTAGAGAAGGTTTGAAAATCTTTAGTATTAATTCCAGACACTTTAGCCCTTTTAAAACATATCCTTATAAGCTTTTAGTTTAGTAATTTAAAATATTACTTTATTTTTAAGTTACTATATGCAGTATAAAATTTTTATGTTCTTCATGTAGGAATGTAGAACAAAAACATGGAGGCCAAGTATTGTATTCAAAAGAGATACCCTGCTTATAAGAGAAGTCAGAGAAGATGACATTGGAAATTACACGTGTGAACTAAAATATGGAGGCTTCGTAGTGAGAAGAACCACTGAATTAACCGTTACAGGTAGTAAGCACAGTCTTCAGTATTTCATTTGCAAGTAATGAAACTACCATTTTAAGTTTAATTTTTGTGCCACATATTGATTTTTTTTAATCTTTGTGATGAAAGACGTACTTAGCCAAATGCTAAGTGGATTTCTATAGATGAAATTTATTCCACCTTGCTTTTAAATCATCTTTTGTTGAAATGCATTTGAAAAATTAAAGAAAATATGCTTAGGGGATTATAGAAATGTTAGCTTTTGAAAGTACTTGAAATAATGAGTTTACGATTTCAGAAAGTCATGCTTATATTTGGTAGTGGTGTCATTTTTAGAAACATTTTCTGGAGTGTTGAAATGGAATATGTGAAATCTACCTGTCTTCCTGTCTTGCTCCAAATTAGAAAAATTACTTTTTAAATTCACTTGCCACTCTATGACCCTGACATCTGTGTTCTCATGAGCTTGAATATAACAAAACTTCAGATGCAATAACTGAATAACTATGTGAGATGCAATGCATGGACTCATTCCCGTATCTGGGGGCTAAGGTAGAAGGGCATGAGAACAAGATTCAGAACACTGCCTGTAATCAGGAATCTACAGCTCAGTAGTCACATGACTTTGGGTCACCACAACCTTGAGAATATTAGTTTCCTCATGTATAAAATGGTGATCAAAAAGTTTACCTTGTTTATTTCAATAATGTCTTTGCAAGGATTGAATGAGGTAAGGTACTATATGTGAAATCAATTTGCAAAATACAGGATTATATCCAAATGGCATCGTTGTTGTCATTTTTGTGTCATGTAAGATATTGCATTCATGCTTTGCTTTACCTTATACCATGCTTCTCTAAAGGTGGTTCCAAGAGGAAAATTCAGGGTGGGAATCAAGAGCAATGTTAGATAGTTAAACACATTATTCTCATTAAGAGAGATTCTTTTCAGTAACTTTCTACAATCATTTTTAATGAAACATATATGTATATAAGTATGAAAAGGATACCAGATACTTTAAAGAGATTTTCATTTGTTCATTGATTCACTTAAAGTGGTTTTCCTGTATATGAAAATTGTTTTGTGATAATCACCTTCATCTTGTAATAATCATCATTAAATCTTGAAATTATGATATATTTTGACTTAAACACCAAATCTGATTTCATTAAATTTGTTTGATGGATCCTAATTATTCTGATTGAAAAAAACTTAGTTAAATAAATAAGGTACTCTTTCGTAATGATATATATTAGACGAAGTAAAAAAACTGACGCTAGCAATACATGATACACTTGAATAGTAAACACACATTCAGTCATGGTTTATGTACCAATGTGTATGATTTACAGTAGTTTGATTTTCAATTTTGCTGCATGTAATAAGTTTCTGTATAGAAAATTAAACTAACACTTTTATCACTCCCTTATCTGTTTAATGGAACAGTGAAAAGCATAACTGTCTATACTTGGATTTTCTTTGCCAAAAATATTGAATTTTTTAGTATTTCTTTTTTGCTCTTAACCTATACTGAAGTAGCTTTTCAAGGAGTAAGCATTGAGACAAAGGAATTTAAAAATATGATGAAAAAATATTCTGAAAAGAAAACAGAATGCACTTCTAGTCTTTATTCTTTGGCGTGTAGAACTAATCCTAGGTAAGCACATCTTTCCCCTTTCTAGAAACACTAGGATACTAAAACACTGTCAAGTAAGAGGTGATTGGAAAACAATTTCCTGGAGACTGGAAACTGTGTCTCAAATGGTAAAATGACATAAATGAAGCTATTTTGTGTAGTCAATAGTAGAATTGTTTTCTCCTAAATGCTAGCCAGAGGTATTATATTTTCCTACATTCATTTCTCTAAAAATATCTCCTTTTCTTTATATGAAAATGAGGAATAATTATTTCTTGATATCCAAGAGGAAGTTAGTAAAAGTTTTCATCCAACTGAATATTATGAATAGTAGTCTTATGAATACTACTCCTCTAACTTAAGTGGATCTACCTGTGATGTTGATTTGGGGACATAAAATATAAAGCAATATTTGATTATATGTGAAATTTTGGATAAATCAGAGAGCTGCATACCGAAGAGTTAAAAATAATATGTATTAAAATGCACTTTAGGTTTTAACAAGAAGTCTGTTGACAAGATAAATTTATACATAACATTGCTTTAAATAGAGTAACACAATGGCTCGTTTACTTTGCCTGTGGCCAAATTAAAGAAAAATTCCTAGGATCCAAGAACTTGTATCTCTCAGTAAAGCAACAAAGGTGGGCATTTCTTTGGATGATAATAAGTCACTGTTTTGTATCTTGGTTTTCTGCATATCACGATTATATTATACTTAATGTAAATCTTAAGCAAAGCATGATATCATTTAGTTTTAGTGAATCTGCCTTAGCTGATAATAAAAAAAAATTGAAGTGTGTTAGAATATTTTTTTAAAATAAAAAAGGAAGCCTATATGTGAGGAGAAAAAGGAATATCTGGATAAGTAAAGTGGCATTGTGCAGGCAGTATGGTAGCCTTTTATGGAGATCCTTCATTTATTAAGTGTATGTGCCTATTTAAGTGAAGTAGTGGTTTAGGAGAACAGATCAAGTGAAATAAACAATGAACCTACTTTGCACTTTTGGTATACTTTAAACATTAAAAAAAATTAAATGTAAAATGTTTCAGCATTATCCGTAGCCTCCACCCTCTTCTCTAAGCTTCAGCCATACTGTTTTGCTCTTTTTCTCCAAATATCCTCCCTCTGAACCCTTGTGTGCTCCCTCTGGAATGCTTTTTATTCCACATTATCACAGTGCCAATTCTTACTCTTTTTTCAAAGCCCAGCTAAAATGTTACCTCTGTTCTGAAGCTTGTAGTTAGTTCTTCATGTCTTCAGAGAACCCCACTTACCACGTTGCATCATATAACTATTTGTTTACACTCCTCTTATTCCACAGGAACATGAGCTCCTCAGGGTTAAGGACAATGTCTCTCTTTTAGTAAACATTTTACTTTAGAATAGTTTTACACTTACAGAAAAAGTCAGACAGATAGTAGGCAGAGATTCCATATACCCCACACCCATTTTCCCCTATTATTAGGATCTAATACTAATATGGTACATTTGTTACAATTAATGAACTAATATTGCTATATTATTATTAACTAAAGTCCATATTTTATTCACATTTCCTTAGTATTTTCATCCTTTCTTAGTTTTTACCTAATGTCTTTTTTTTTTTTGTTCCAGGGTCACATTTAGTTGTTGTGTCTCCTTAGGTTCCTTTTAGCTGTCCCTGTTTCTGACTTCCCTTGTTTTTGATAATCTTGGTAATTTTAAGTAGTACTTATTTTGTAGAATGTCCTTCAATTGTGATTTGTTTGATGTTTTTCTCATGATTAGGCTTAGATTGTATGTTCTTGGAAGACCACGGAGGTAAAGTCACAACATAGTGTGCTATCAACATGACATTGCTGTTGGTGTTGGCATTCATCACCTGGTAGTGTTTGTCAGATTTTGCCACTGCGAAATTACTCTTTTTCTCTGTTTTCCTTATTTCACTCTTTGGAAAGAAGTCACTATCTGTAGTCCACACTTAAGGATTGAGAAGTTATGCCCTCACCTCTTTGAAGGCAAAATATCTACATAAATTATTTGAAATTCTTCTGCATGGGACATATATCTATTTTTCCACATTTACTTATTCAGTCATTTATCTGTATCAGTATGGACTCATGGATATTTCTTTTATACTTTGATTTATATCTAATATCACCTTATTTATTTTGTTGCTCAAATTGTTCCAACTTTGGACCTTTGGAGCTCTTTTTTAAAAAAAATTTTATTGAAGTATAGTCAGTTACAATGTGTCAGTTTCTGGTGTACAACATAATGGAGCTCTTTTAGTTGATTTCTTTGTCCCTTTGACACACTCCTGTCATTGTGTGTGTATGTGTGTGTGTGTGTTTCTTTATTTTCAGACCCTACTAGATGCTTCAGGATCAGCTTATGTATTTTCTTCCCTAGTCCTAGAATCAACTATTTCTTCCAAAGAGCTCTTTTCCTTTTTGTTAGAGAATGGTACTAGAAACTAAGATCTGGGCATTGACAGTACTCATTGCTAATGAAGTATAGTTGTTTCTAAGCCCTCTCAGTTGACAGAGCAAAGAAATATGTGTATACTAACCCAGGTATATACATACATATCTAGGGTTATCTCTGTATGTAACCATCTGTCTCTATATGGAACTAAATATTAGTTCATACTTATGTCTCTAATCCATTACCATATGTATCATTCTAGCTTCTTCTCCTTCCTTATCTGTAACTTTCCCATCCAATAGTGAGAAACCTGGTTCTCACCATCTTACTTGTTTACATCCAATATAAGTATGTAATGAGATCAGAACTTTTGACCTGTACGCCTATGAGAAACAACTTTATCAACTAGAGTACAGTGTTTATATAGTTTCTCTTGCCTTTATTCTTACATACTCTGCTCATTTCCTCCTATCCCCTTCAGTGAGGTTGTCTCACTCATTTGTAGTATGGTCAGGTTATTTTACCACATTCCTCATTCCATCCTGGGATCTTCCATCCTCCTAAATGATGTCTTTAAAAGTTTGCATATGTTGAGGTTTGTAGGGGAGGAAAAATAATTTTCCATCTACTTTTCTGAGTTCTTAGCTGGGACCCCCATAATAAAAGATAGATTAACAAGAGAAAAATAAGTTTATTTTTTAAAATTATAATATCTTTCAAACAGAAGTTTATTAACATGTATATGTCACATATACATGGCAAACTGAGTACCTCCCCAAAAAGGCCCAAGCCACCAGCGTAATATCATTTGCAGCTAAAGACAAAAGAAAGATTGTGGGGGGGGGTGGTGAGGGAAAGGAAGGTGAGTTATGGGAGATTACCAGGAAAAGCACAGTAAACAAGGGTAAGTCTAAATTTAGACACCATCTCCATTGTTAAGAGTTAGGGTCATCCTTCTCTTCCCTCTTAAGAGAGGGT